TTTTTTTTTTTTTTTTTTCTATTAAATACACCCGTACTAGTAGATCCTAAAATGGCATCCTAAGTTAAGGTTAAGTAACTCGGAATATCATACTATCGCCCTCGTGTATAATTCTCCGATGCGTGAGTTTAAGTGACCGGCTCGCATGTTTTATAAGCATATTTAACATAAATTTGTGCTTCGAGTTGACAAATGTACATGTTTGGTTTTGACTATTAGACTTGAGAATTACTATAAACTATTTGTACTATTTTTTTTTTACCTTAAGTTACCATATACTACATCTTTTTCTTTAATTCATATATTAATTATCATAAATTCATTTTTATATTTGTAACTCACTTTTTTATTTATACTTTTTTATTTATGATATATCAAAATAATCATATTTTAACAATCTTCGGTCTAACTTCCATATTATATATATGAATAAAAAAATAATTCCATCTATCTTTATAAAAATAATTAGTTTTATTATCAAACCAATTTAAAAATATCAAATAACACAGGAAAATATATTTATTGAAACTACAAGTTATTGTATTAGTATGTTACACAAAAATCATCAATAGTGAAACTTCAATATATATTGTATTAGTATGTTACACAAAAGTACTCGTGTACTACAAGTTATTGTAGTAGGCAAAATTTCATTTTTGGTCCATTATATTGGCCATTTTCCAGAAATGGTCTACTAATTTGGCAGACATCAAACCTGATACAATAAGTTGTAAAATTCATCATTTTTGGTCCATAAGCATACGTGGCGTTTTATCGGACGAATACGTGGACAAGTTTGATGTTCGCCACATAGGCTCTTGTGTGATTAATGGACCAAAAATGATGAATTTTACAACTTATTGTATCAAGTTTGATGTCCGCCAAATTAGTGGACCATTTCTGGAAAATGAAATTTGGCCAGTTATTGTATTAGTATGTTACACAAAAGTCATCAATAGTGAAACTTCAATATATATTTATTGATGCAAGTTCTTTAACTTTGCTTTCTAGCGTTTCTTGCCTTCGGAGTTCGGTATGGATCCAGCCCGAATGGGAAATGCTCTTGAGCCCGGAAGAGTAACATTTGACGAGAAGATGATCGTACGTAAAGCAATCGAAGACGCCAAAATCCCTTACACATACGTCTCGGCCAATTGTTTTGCCGGCTACTTTGTCGGCAATCTCGGGCAACTTGAAACCCTTGTTCCTCCTAAGGATAAAGTAATCATCTATGGTGATGGCAATGTTAAAGGTGAAACAATTTTTCAGAGAAAATTGCAATTTTAGTCCAGTAACTTAGGCTGTTTCCCATTTTAGTCCACTAACTTAGGCCGATCCAAATTTGGTCCAAAAACTCTCAAAAGTTAGTTAAATCAGTCCAATTTCGGTCCCTGTCGCCGAAATTGAATGGTCAATTTCAGTCTAATTTTAGTCCAATTTTAGTCCAATTGGACTGATTTAACTAACTTTTGGGAGTTTTTGGACCAAATTTGGATCGACCTAAGTTAGTGGACTAAAATGGGAAACAACCTAAGTTACTGGACTACAATTGCAATTTTCTCCAATTTTTCATATACATGTATTCCACATGTTGTAGTTCTCAACTTTCTCTTTAAAACTATGATATATTCCTAGTATTACATGTAGTAGTCTTTTCATTTTTCAACATGTTCAGTTTATGGGAGCATTTGTAGTCCAGTCACCAAAACAGGACTGCAAATGAGTCGAGTCGAGTCACATCAAACATGGATGTTATTGTTATCGAGCGCAGATCGAATGAGCTCCACGAGCCATGTAAAATGTTACTCGACTTGACCCGCGAAAAAAAAAAAAACAAAAATGCTCAAGGTCGACTCGATGCTCGACATTTCTCGAGCTCGGCTCGAATGTTTAACCAAAAAGGAAAAGAAACACAACAATAAAGAAAAGGTTTCTAATTTTGCACATGTCGTATTATTACAGCGGTGTTCATGGACGAAGACGATGTTGCAACGTACGCGATCAAGTCCGTAGACGACCCTCGTGCGTTGAACAAGACACTCTACCTTCGGCCACCGGAGAACATACTAAGCCAGAGGGAATTGGTCGAGGAATGGGAGAAACTCACAGGAAAGACACTGGAGAAGATGAGCGTCCCAAAAGAAAATTTCCTCGCTAATCTCAAAGGTACATAATAATCATATTAATCGAGGGGAAATGTCCCAAATCAATCAACTTGCTATCTTGGAGACAATCTAACATGAAATTATTAATGTAAACCAATCATTTGACCCGACTCGAAAAATATTTTATGTGGCAATTTCTTTGAAACTTCAACGTCGATATAGATGTAATCAAGAAATTGCGCGCATTTCGTACACAGTTCTATAAGCACTTGATATATGAAGGGGATGAAACTTATTAATGCAGGTGGTGATTTTGCTATGCAAGTTGGATTATGCCATTTTTATCACATTTTCTATGAGGGATGCTTGACAAACTTTGAGATAGGAGAAGACGGAGAAGAAGCTTCGAAACTTTACCCGGAGGTCGAGTACACGCGTGTCGACAAATACTTGAAGCGTTACTTATGAAATTCCCGAATTTTTTCTGCTACTAAAGTTTCTATTTACTGCTTGCTATGATCAACTTACAAGAACTATACTTAAATCTGTGATTCAGACAAAATTAAGTAAGATCCTACATGAACTATTCTGTTTTTTGTTCAATTGTTATTCACATGTTTGGACAAGAATACTTCAGACAATATACTCTGTATTCTGTTACTACATTGTTATTCCCTTATTTAATTGATTCATCATGTGAGTGCAACACAAATCCATCAAAGGAGGGTAACTTGTTAAAGTGAATAAGTTCCCAAAAATATTTTTTAAAAAAATGAAATGAAACGAAATGAAATTCTTATCTATTTCCGAGCGGTTTAGCTTCAAACACCGACCCGTTGATGCCGATGAAATCGTAGCTTCTTCGGGTATTCAATTCAAAATCGAGCGAAGGCCCCTCGAGCTTAATAAGCTTGATGTCTTTACTTTCGTGTGCCTCACTAACATAATCCGACTCGTGCAAATTCCCATAGTCCACGATATTTGCATTCCGTTCGTCCGTATTTACGTTTTGCATGAAACTCGAGAGGGCCAAGTTGAAGTCGGTTAGCTGAGCTTTTGTCGACTCGAGACTTTGGGAGTGGTGGTTCGCGCCATCGGAGGAAAGGCTTTGTTGAGCTTTTTCGAGTATTGCTTGCAAGTACTTCCCTTGAGCTTCTATTCTCATTTGCAGTTTCTTTTGAACCTATTTTTTAGGGAGAAAAATATTAAAAAAAAAAAAAAAAATTGTTCTGTTTTTAGAAATTCTATGAGATTAAAAGGTTCAGATAAACTAAAAAACTACCTCAAGTTGTTCTTGTAGTCTTTTCTGCACCTCAATTTGACTCCTAAGTGCCTCTGCAATTGGAATTTCCCTGTATCACAAATTAGTATGTTTCAATTAATTCTGCTTAATTTTGATTAGAACTGTAAACATTTAGGGGAATTATGTTTGTGTTTAATTTTATTTTTTTATCTTAATAAAGTTTTTCACTTACAAACACTACCAACTCATCCTTCAATACAGGTTAAATTGCATTTTTAGTCATGTTGGTTTAACGTCGTAGCATTTGTAATCTTAAGATTATAACGTTTTGCCTTTTGGTCACGTGATTTAATATTTTGCTGCAATTTTAGTCTTTCGGAATTGCAACAAATTTCCAAATTTATAGATTTTTAATTAGCAATTTAAGTCCTATAATTGAGAATTTTTGTTGCAATTTAAATTCTGTTCAATATCTTGTTACAGTTTCAGTTCACAAAGGACTAAAATTGCAATAAAATATTAAACTATAGGACCAAAAAGCAAAAAGTTGGGATCTGCGGGGGCTAAAATTGTTATGGTACTAAACAAACAGGACTAAAAATGCATTTTCGCCTTCAATATACTTAGATACTATTATGACATCAATGCATTTATAAGTGTTGAGTGAACTATTATCTATAACTAAATTTACTCTAGTGTTCAGAAAGAATCACCCTTGTTCACTCTTGATGCTCGATGAATTCACGCTCGTGCTCGCCATATGCATACTCCGATGCCCATAAGAACTTTCTGAAGAAAAAAAGAAGGGGAAAAAACGAAAACTCGAAAATCAGAAAAAAAAAATGTTTGAGAGGAGACAGAAATATTAAAGCTACATTCTGAGAATGAAACTTACCACAGTTGTCTTTGTTATGTTCAAAAGTGTTGTGTTTTTTGGCTTGTTGCTGTCCTAATCTATACTTCTGAACAAGCAAAAGTTGAAAGTGTTTAACTAACCTTCTTTATAAATATTAACGTACCGAACCAAACGAACGAACGAATGAGTCATAAAATCACATACACGAACCGAACCGAACCAAATATACCTGTAAATGACTCTTCAAGTGATACAATGTCAAGCCCTTCAACCCCATTACCCTTAGAACCGATTTAGGCGTCGCCTCTGCACATCCAACCACAATTTCATTCAAAACCTCAGCTGTATATGATTCGAATATACAAAATTAAATTATCGTAAAATCCTGCGCTGAAACACCGAATACAAAATTATTACTAAAGAAAATTATGATATAAATTTATGAAAACCAACAGACAATATATGTCACTAAATTTTGCATCAGATCAAGTGAAAATGAACTGACTATCAGGGCCACCAAGCTTAGTGACGGCGTCAACGAAACGATGGTGCAAATCGGCCGTCCATCTCAGCCGTGGCTTTGGGTCTCTTGTCATCACCACACCACCACCGCCGCCGCCGTTAATTCCGTACATTCCGTCCATCTTCACGACACGTAACTTATCCAAATATCAAATGAAAAAAAATAAAAAGTTGTACATGAATGAATGTACAACTTTGTTCCTCCACAAAGGAAATAATAATTAAACAGTAGAGAATATCGAGCAACTCAAGCATTGATCAAAGCTATAATAATAAACCCAAAAAGGAGAAGAAAAAAAGAGAGAGAGAAGAAAATTAATTAATTAAAGAATAAAAAAAAAGGCGGTGGATAATGAGACTGCTACAAATTATTATTAATACAAAATAGGCCTATGCATGAAAGTCCAACAAGAGGAATATAAATATAATTTAATCAAGTACGAGGAAAAATAAAAAATAAAAATAAAAAAATAATTGAAGATGTTCGTGAGTGACCAAGCTTCGTCCACACAACCGAGCCCGTGAGTATTAAGTTAATTTCAACAATTGTTTATACAAAATAAATAACTTAAGTTAATTTCAACGTCAGAATTATCAATGTATGAACTAACTATGTAAAATTTATGTGTTAGATTCTGAAAAAGTCGCTACTAGGCCAAACTAAGGATTAATTAGTCATATTTATTATTATTATTATTATTATTATTGTTTTTTAATTACATAATTATGTATATTTTCAAATTGAAACTTCGTATTCGAAACTAGTACGCAGTTCGTGCGATGCACGAGGCAGTCTTGATAAATCGTACAAAATTTTAATTAGTATATATACAAATCGCTTTAATAATGAAATTAATTTTATTTCATATTTTTGTTATATGTGATATTTTTATATACGATTTATATCACCACAAGAAAATGATGAAATTCCAACGAAAATGTATCCCAGTAAAATTATTCCAGCGGCAGTTTCAATGGATATTTCAATGCTATTATTTTGGTTGGAATTTTTCAGTGTATTCCAACGAAAATTGCAACAAAAATACTCCGTTGGAATGGACTTTCCATTGGAATTTTCGCTGGATTTTGACGATTCCAACGATAGATTTTTTTCAATTGAAATGGAAATAAAAATTCACAATACAAATTGCATACTCAAATCGCCCACATTAATTGCCATTGACAATGATTTTGGGTGACATTTTATTTCCTATTTTTTTTCCTATTAGATTAGGGGGTGTCTATATGTACACCCCTTGTGTGTAAAAAAGGGGTGTACATATAGCACTTTTCTTTGTGTAATTTATTAAAAGGGGGTGTATATATAGCATTGCCCCTTACATTATTAGATGCATTATTACTATGAACATTTGGATGTATGTTAATTGGATGTTTGCTTTTTTGCATGTTGTAATAATAAAGAAAAAGAACATATGAGCGAGGAAAAATCGGCGACGAATCTGATCAAACATTATTGCTAATTTTTTAGTTTATTACCAAAAAAAACGAATCTTTGATCTGGTGTCCCCCGGTTATTATCGGATTTAATTCTCAGCCGTTAGATTCTTCGATTTAACGGCGGAGATGGAAAAGGTGGGGGGTGGTCGGACGTGGTGTGGGGTCACAGGTAAAATTTTACCAAGTGACACGTGTTAGGCGGATATTAAATGGGGGGGACAGGAATATTCTTGTACTCACGTGCCACGTCTTTCAGGCTCTAGTCTAGGCCGGCCATTCATTGCACAAATACTTAGGTGTGTGCCAGGGCCTTATGTGAAATCATTGTTTTAAATAGCTCGCTATGTAGTTCGCTATTACTCGCTACATAGCTTTTTTTGGGAAAAACGCGACGTAGCCTAATTTATTTAGCGTTTTTCCCGAAAAGCTTACGCGAAATGTTGAAACGATACGCTTTCTTACGTTATTTTGCGTTATTTCACGCTATTGTGCGCTATATTGCGCTATATTTTTGCAACGACATTTGAAAAATAAAATATTCAAACACTCGTACTCCCTCCGTTTTGTTTTAATTGTCGTTTCAGTGTAAATTATGTTTTGCTTATTAATTGTCATTTGGTTTTTTGGATAATCATGAACTACTATAACTTCTCAAAATTCATTATCGATAACTACAAATTGATGAGGAGAGAGAAAACATTACTAAGATTTAAGACTGTTAAAGATATGTAGAATGACAAGATAACTACTTCCTTTAAATGCGTAATTTTGTTCTTTTAAACTAGAATGACAATTAATGTAAAACAGAGGGAGTATTTTTTAAAGATCGGAGTCATATTTATAAATGACAATTAAAAACTTAAAATTTTGATAATGATTTCAAATTAAAAGTTTGATAATGCAAAGTCCTAAATTGAATAGTGCAATGTTTTTTGTCTATTTTTGTTTATATCATTTTATTTTTTGATATTTGACATTTAAATAAAGAATAAAAAGTTCGTATCTAATGGTTATATTTGACTTGCCTCATATATTTTCGTTGTTTATTTTTACTTTTTAGTATATTCGATTATTATTAAATATTTATATTATGATGATATTTACATTAAACATTTGTGAGAATTAATCCTCGGATGTTATTTTTGAAGTCATTCAAATACTATGATAATTTTTGTAATCAACCATCTATTTTATTATATGCAGATATACTTGTAATATTTTATAAAAAAATTTATACACAAATAGCTTACACAATACGCGACGCTATTTACGCTACGCAGTATCAAGACCAAAACGCGACGCATTACGCTATACGCGTTTTAAAACACTGTGTGAAATACATCTCTTCTACAGGCGCGTGAGAGAGGTAAGGAGGTAAGTGTTTTTTTTAAATGGGACATGTGTCCCATTTTTATTGGGTAATAAATTTCATTTATCATATTATATAAATTCAATTATCATTCATATTTTGTATCAAAAAATAAAAATAAAAATACCAAAATTCATAATTTTTCATTCTCTACGAATAGAGACCACATTTGATATTTTTTGGAACACAATTAATTTATCTTTTTTTACAATTAATTTATCTTATTAGAAGATTATCACGCAAATTTATAATTAGATGAATATGTTACATAGTAAAATGAACATGTTATAGAGTAAGATGAACATGTCATAGAATAAGATGAAAATGTTAAATTTTCACAAATTAAATTTAGATGAACATGTTCTAAAGTAAGATGAACGTGTTACATAATAAAATAACATGTTATAGAATAAGATGAACATGTTACATAATATAATGAACATGTTATAGAATAAGATGAACATGTTACATGCACAATAAGGTGAACATGTTACATAAATAAAATGAACATGTTATAGAATAAGATGAACATGTTACATAATAAAATAAACATGTTATATAATAAGATGAACATGTTATATAATAAGATGAACATGTTATAAAATAAGATGAACATGTTACATAATAAAATGAACATGTTATATAATAAGATGAACATGTTACATACACAATAAGGTGAACATGTTACTAAGATGAACATGTTACATGATTAAATGAACATGTTATAGAATAAGATGAACATGTTACATACACAATAAAGTGAACATGTGACAAAATAAGATGAATATGTATTGTTTCAATCTACAATCTGTAACATGTTCATCATATTTGAAAACATATTCATTTTAATATGTAACATGTTCATTATATGTCAGTATAATAAAATAATTACGAAAAATTATGAAAAATTATTAAAAAACGAAAAATTAGTTGTGTTCAAAAACCTATCAAATGTGGTCTCTATTTATAGATAATGAAAAATTATGAATTTTGGTATTTTTATTTTATTTTTTTAATATAAATAATTAATGATATTTTAATTTATGTAATATGTCCCATTTTTTAATTAAAAAAGAAAATTGGGGATGTGAACTACACTCTCCAAATTTCTCTAGTATTGGGGAGTTTTGGGAGTAAATGGGCGCGTGCAAATGTGCCCTGGCACACCTAGCTAGGTGTGCCAGGGCACACGGTAGTGGTACTGCATTCATTGGTCATCGCAGCATATGGGGGAATAATTTCGTTAGTATACTTGTGAATAGGGTTTGGGAATTTTAAATCGTACCGAATCGAAAAATAACTATTGATCGTTTGATTTTAAAAAAATAATTGAAGTTTTGGAGATTTTACAAACAATCGAGAACCGAATCAAATCATCTTATATCTCACCAAATCGAATAACAAAAATTAAGAACCGAATTATAATATAACAAAGGGCATGAAAATATATAACAAAGATCAAGGGTCGGACACTTTGAGGGAATATATATGCAGCCAGGGGGATTTATTTATGTAGGCCCTGGAAAGAGGAACTGAAGGCAATAATACAATAATGGGCATGAAAGAAAAGAGAGAGACGAGAGACACAGACAGGGCGGATAATTCTTCTCTTTTTTTTTTTATTCTTTATTATGTTAGAGTAATTTTTATTTTTAGTTACGAGAAAGTCGTGCCCTACGACTTGGCTATGTCTGATTAATTTTTGTGGCTGATAATTTTATTATCTTTTTGTAATTGTGTATGTTATTTTAAATGATGAATTTAAATTTGTTTAGCCTTATTTAGATTGATTATCAAGATTAGACTTTTCATGTCAAATGCTATAGTTAAACCTTCAATCAAGAATTGTTGTTGCATTTAACTCGTAAGTAGCAACCGAAAGATAGTAACTGTCGGGGATAACAAGGTCTAATTAAGTGAACCGCGCGATTGTGTTTACTACTTAGACTAGCATATTTTTATAGAGACTAAAGCGTCTATTGAATAAAATCTAGAGAGAGAGAGAGAGAGAGAGAGAGAGAGAGAGAGAGAGAGAGAGAAAGAGTTCTAAATTGTCCAATAAGTCAGGTTTAACCGAAGAGAGTTTCTAAGGAAAAATTCAGGTAGTAGAGTGTGTTGTTATCTAGGGCTAGTAATTCTATAAGTAAATGAGGTTTGATACTAAAATTAATTTGATAAGTCGTTCGAGGGTGTAGACGGAACAATGAACTATAAACTTCTCTTAGTTTATTTAATTTAATTTTATTTTGTTTGTCTATATTTTATTTATTTAATTAGGATCTTGGTTTAATAAAT